TGCATACAAGGATAACGATTTCCCAGATACTGTTTCGGTAATCCGAATCCATAGCATTGCAGCAAGCAACTTTACCACCTTAAGGAATATTAAAGAATATGCGTTTCATTATTCAGCTGCTTGAGGTGTGTGACGTGGAAGTAATTTGTGTGTGCACGTGACTTCTGCTCCTTTCTTCTAGACAGCGATCCTTCTAGATTATGTTGGATACTGTTGCCTGAGACATGTAGACGACTTTTGGTATTTATCCTCACCTGCTACAAGATGCCACATTATGATTTTCATGACTGGGGTGCATCTTGTTACAGGTCTCTTTCTGAATGTTCCTGTGCCCCAAGTTGACCCATATTCCTTTGTTTTCAAATTCTATTAAGTAAAAAAGATATCTCTATCTTTAAAATTTTAAATAATCGGTCTGAGCACATCTTTATGATCTCAGTGTATGAATATTTTGCATCAGAAAGAGCTTTACATACCTTTCCCAAAACTGATCAATTTTCAATGGCATCACACTAAATATGAATGCCAATAAATGTCAAAATGTAGTTCCGATACAAAGTTTTCTACTGAGACTTTATATTGGCAGTGGTTGTCACGTGACACGATGACTTACATAACGTTTTCAGCCTCATGTATTATGATCATGTGTACAAAATATCTGTTCAATAAAATTTATAAAAGCCAGATGACAAGTTAGCTAAAACTCACCTAATTCATAGACACCGAATGTTGTCGGTTTTCATTGAAGTATGATCTTATATCAATTAGCACAGTGAATACTCCTTCAATAGATATCAAGATTTCTCTAATAAAAAATAGAGCAGTGAAGCTTAGCTATTTAATTACAGTAATGTCTTGCATTTTGAATCTCAAATAGACGAAAAACTTTAGAAATAATACTTAGTAGTTAACACTAAAAAAAAAAAAAAAACGACACCAAATAAAAGTGTGGTATTTGATAAGGGACTTCGCTCGTCCCTCTTAGAAAAGGCCTTTACATACCCTTTTTGAAAAGTGATCGATTTTCAGTGCCATCACACTAAGTACGAATACCACATAATGTCAAACTGTAATTCCGATACAATGCCTTCTTAACGAGACTATATCGGCAGTGGTTGTCACGCGACTTACTGATTTACATATTAAAATCCCTTTAACATAACGTACTCATTTTTTATGTCACAGAAAAGCGGCATAAGGGCGGGGGCTTAAGCCCACTCATCACTGTCACCTTTCATTTACATTCAATTGATTACCAAAGATATAAACAGGGTAATATAAGCATCATGGTAGTGTTTGTTTGTTTGAAGTTCAGCACAAACTACACAATTGGCTATCTGTGCTCTGCCAACCACTGGTATCGAAACCCGGTTTCTAACGTTGTAAGCCCGCAGACATCCCGCTGTACCACTGGGAGGGGGTTCATGATGGAGCATGACTTTTGTACGTCCTGCCCTCACTCTCATTATTCGAAGTCACATTTGGTATTTCATTCACTGGTTTTTGTTGCATGTACAAATAACCTGCAAGTCTTGCAGCATAGAATCAAAGAAATCTGAGTAAAAGAATGGTCTTTGTTGCCATGACACAGAAAATCACGTTAGTGCACATCTTTTATATTATCCCATATAAGGTTAAGGTAGATTTGATTTTACCACGATTACTTTGATTAATGATTTTTCATAATCTTCGTACTGACTATGTATGTACAAGTAGTGGCCAAAAAATGGATACATCAATGTAAAGTCACTTAATGGGGTGTTGGGCCGCCACGTGCGGCCAGTATGCGCGATGTAGCATAGAGTCTACTAACGTATAGAATTCTGCAGGAGGAATGCGACACCATTCTTCCACGAGAAAGTCAATCAACTCACACCTAGTTGATAGAAGTGGAAGACATTGTCTCAGGCGTCGTTCCAGAATATCCCATACATGCTTGATTGGGTTCAGATCTGGTGACTGAGATGGCCATGACATATGGATAACATCAGTGTTATTATCCTCAAACCATTGGGCGACTACTCGAGTTTCGTGGACGGGGGGCATTGTCATTTTGAAAAACAGGACAGAAATGCTGTAAGATGGGGTGAAGATGATCACTCAGTACCATTAAGTAACGATTGGCATCGACCTTGCCTTCCAAGGGTGTGAGTGCACCCAAACCATGCAGGAAAATGCACCACACACCATTAAGGAACCACCATAACCCTTCACTGTTGGAACCAAGCATTCAGGGCCACATATGCACTCATCCATTTGTCGAGAACACAGTGAAGGATAATTCATCTGACCATATCACATTTCTCCACTGCTCGGCAGTCGATAGCCTGTGCTTTTTACACTAATGGACGCACAACCGTGCATTTCGATGTGTGATGAGCGATTTGTGCACTACAACTCGATTATAGTATCCGATTCTGTGGAATTCTCGGTAGACCGTTTTTGATTAAACTGGCTGCTCTCGCCCAAGGTTGAAATTTGAGGTCAACTGACCTGCGATTGTTCGCCTATTTTGCCTTGCAGTTCGAATTAATGCACAGACATCACGATCCTGGAGTATGCACTTCCACTCATTGTTGCCCATTGCTGATGATGTCTTTCCCTCGGAGTTCCATGCACGATCCTGGAGTATACACTTCCACCCACTGTTGTCCTTTGCTGATGATGTCTTTCCCTCGGAGTTCCATGCTGACATCACCTTAGACACCGTTGCTCGTGAAACATCAGCAAGTTGAGCTGTCTTGGTCACTGAAGCTACCGCCACACGCACCACAATAATCACCCCTCTTTCAAAGTCACTGAGGGCTCCTCTTGCAGCCATGATTATACGCAACCAGGCCTGTCCAGCGTTTTTATACATGACCCTATGCATGCTGGGATGTTATTTGCTTAATTAATGGACGAGCCACACCTGTGTGGTAGCGTGTGTATTGCATATACTTGTTGTCCTTCATTTACTCAGGTGTCTCCATTTTTTTGTCCACTACCTATACTATACATACGTAGTTTCATTCATTGTAACCCCTTTTTTATGCAGTCTTTTAGGCGGTGCGAATAAAAAAGTTCCAAATGTTTTTCTTTTTCCTTGTATAATTTTGATCTATTCAGTTTTTTTCTTCTAACTTTCAAATATCCATAATGTTTTGTATCATTTACCTTTGAATTAAAAATCTGCATTAACCTGGCTTATTATTTCTCTTTTACTTCATTAGAAAAATTACCAGGTTTTCACTTTAAACATCAAATGTGAGGTCTATCCACATACAGATTTATTTTAACATATAAATCAATTAATTCCCAACTTCCATTACTTTAAGCTTTACTCATATATTAATTTAACTCAGTTCTGTTCCTGGTAACGTAATTTTATTTTCCCCACTTCAAATAGCAGTTGTATCCTAATTTTTGTTGGGTTTTTTCATTAATTTTATGTTATCATTTTGAGTTTATGATCTTGCTATAACCAACCGTTTTACTTTATTGCTAATAGTATCCGAATGTTATAAAATGTGCAGTTTAAATTTAAGTTCCTACATTAGTGTTTATGTATGGTAACCAGTTTTTCTTGGTTGCTACTGTGCTCTCACCTCTCTTACATAGTTTTGGTCAATAGATGTTTATTCACAGAGTAGTCTTTGTACATCTTGTAGTTTCCTTTTAGTTTTAATTTGTGCCAATGGTTTGTTTTTGGTTAAATAGGTTTCCTTTTTTTTTGTTTATTGTAAGTTGAAAGGGATTTTTCTTAGGTTTTATTTTATGGATTATTATGTAAATATTTTTGTAACAGGTTGTTTTATTCTATATTTGTAAATGTAACTGAAGAGTGTAACATAGTGTTATCGGATTTAATGAAAGGTTTGACACTGTTTATCTTTTTCTAGGAGTAAAGAGTATCTTACATTTAGTTTAATAACTATTTAAGACACCCATTCATATAATGTTGTGTATGGTGTTTGAGTTGTACTTTGCTCAAAACAGTGGACCAATATTTATACAGGTATTTCAAGAACACATACATATAATATGCTGCTAATAACCAATTTCTATGACAAGACAATGCTTAGTACTATTTTTTCCTGGTTGTAAGCATCATAACTTGCTGGTTGTTTACTAACATATAATCACTACAATTACTATTTTTTGTTCATTGAAAGAGAGTAAACGTTTGTTTTTTTTGCAGACTTCTGGTATGAAGTACATAGAAACTATTAGACAAAGCAGATCCATCAAAAAGAAAGAAATGTAATTACTATTTCCAGCTAAACTAATTAAAACACGTATTGTGGCCAGGTTTTCAGAAAGTAAAAGGTAACAGAGTAGTTGGCTTATTAAATAAAGACTCCTCTAATTAGTATATTATAGAAGCTACAAGTCTAGTTAGTTTAAGTTCAAAAAATCTAACTTATAATGGTCAAAAATATTCAGTGATATCGTTTGCAATACCTAGGAGATGATTCTGGATAAATCTCCCTCTTAGAACCTCCTACAAAAATCTCCTAACTTGCAATGATAGAAACGTGCTGGGAAGTTTCCACAACTTCCACCATGTTAGGCCTATGTAGATTTACTCAGATTTTCTATAGACACACACAATGCAAATTGGAGCACTAAACAAAATAATTAAGGATAAATATCAAACAAAAAAATAAGAAAATGAATAAGAAGTTAGCCCACTAGTGGTTATAGGTGGATAAGATTCTCCAACAAGTAAAGCTTTACAATTAGTATTAGTAAGTCTGTTAAATAACTATTACACTATTATAGCTAAATAATGAACAGCAACTTGAAAGTATTTCCTATGTGAATCTTTTTTTTTTTGACTGACAGTTATTAAAGTTCTGTATTAAATCTATTACTTCTTTGCTTCTTTTCTCCCAAATTTCTCATTTGAGCAACTTGTAAGGAAGCAGATGTAACCTCATAATTAAAATAACCACCATTTACAACAAAGACAGGTAAGATATTTCCACCTCACATATACACATAACTGTACTGTCAAGAAAGGGTTAATACTGTAATTTATTTTCTTTCATCTTTTATAACACTTATACATCACAGAAGTATTAATAACACCGATTAAACATTCCACCAACTAAATTATACAGAGTATGAATATCACTTTCCTCAGTAATAATTAGATATTTTAAAATATTCAATGCATAACAAAAATCTGAAACCCATTTGGGAAACGACTTCACAATTAACTGATACATATGTATAATACATAAAGCAGCCTAAGGAAGAACTAACATTATCATCCAACTAAGAATAAAAAAAAAGTAACTAAGTATCAAACCATTCGATTTTTCCAATGAAGTCCACAGTTTCATCAACAATTCAAAGTCCATTATAGTCCACAGATTTATACATGGCAAACAAATAGCCATTTCCACTGGCACGGACAAGTATACAGTAAAGTATTTCACAGAAGTACAAAGAATTTATTACTCATCATAATATCAAAATGATTGTAACTATATCAAGCTAAAAACCACTTGTAAACACTTGTAAGTTCTTACAACTTACTGACTGAAAAATACCCTAGTGTTAGCAAGACTTGAATATCCAAATTTATGAAGCAAAAACAATTATATACATTCACGTATCTTTAATACAAAGTAAGTTAAAACCATTATGTTTAGTTAACAAACAAACAATCACAAAAAAATCTAGTCAATGATTAATTGTAGCATATAACATTAAGAGAAAAAGAGGAATTCTTAAGTATCACTATGAATTTGTAAAACTTCCTAGGTATGATAACCAATGAAAGTAACTTCCTAGGTATGATAACCAATGAAAGTAACTTCCTAGTTATGATAACCAATGAAAGTATGTTTAGGTATAAAAAAGCACTTCAATGCTGAGGGAAGAATTACTGAATAAACAAGTAAACTAAATGAACAACTGCTGTAACAAGATCTACATATTCCAAGTGTTAACAAGTGATTCTTTTTTTGTATACTGTTGTGCACATGTATTTAAATATCTGTTGTAGTATGTGAAGTACAGTATTCCCACTTTAAAATTTTGGAATTAAAGTATCTAATACTAGAAGTTTAATTTGTATACTTTTATTTCTGATTTAATAACCTCACAGATTAGGAAAATTTCTTAATAATGATATGCTTTAAGTAGTTACATTTTCACAAAAATATGACTATGTGAGTTGGTTAACAACTGTTTGTGCTTCAATTCATATTGCTAATTATGTTTCTTGTCAGATGATAACAAATACCTGATTTAAACACATACACAAATCAACATATATACTACATAACATTAGCAGATAACGGAATTGTTTCATTCCAGAAATACAGATTAAGTTTTTATTAAATAAATGGTATGTTAGGCAAAAATCAATTGTACAATCAATATAAATGGTTCAAATAGTGCTTTTTCTCTAGGTTAAAAAAATATATCAAAAAATTATTGATGCAAGTCTTTAAAATCTTGCATGTTAATAATAGACTTTTGCCGACATTTAAACTAGCATTGATAATGCTAGATTTTATTTTATTACAATGCAGCAAAAAACAAAGTACATTAATGAAACTATGACAAAATTCAGGTTGGTTCCTTTTAACATAAGGTGTGTTTCATATTACCAACACTGACCAACCTTTTCAAACAACACGGCTACATCAAAACTAGTCAAAATAGCAGTAAGTAAGCAAAGCTAGTAGATGCAAGTATAAACTGCTTTTTAATTTTCTGAAATATTTTTAAATCAAAATGTACCACAACCATCCAACCCCCATAGACTGATAATACCTCAGTATACTAGCAGCATACTTAACTTTGTTCATTACCTCATTTAAATCTCACAGAGGTAAGGACAACATCACCTGATATAGCAAGCACAGTGATGGTACTTAGTGGCATAACACGGTGTTTAAATTCAGTGAAGTGTTGCCCATTAACAGCAACCATATACTTCTCATCTTCCACATGAATTATCATATCAAAGTTAACATGTGGAGAAAAAGGAAAAAATGGAGCATTGCTTTCCTCGTTGCCCCAGTTATTTTTTATTTGGGCATTTCTTACTACACTCCTGTTATCAAAGCGAGGGTTGAAGTGAAAGGCCACATCTGGAGGAGGGTAAGGACCAGTGCCAGTCTGTAAGTTGATGACAAACCTTATAAGAGAAGAATATATTAAAAGTTTAAAAGTTACTCTCAATACAAATTCACACACAAAATATATTACACGCTCTGAAAATTGTGTAACTTCCATAGTGGTATAAATATTTGACTTAATTGTTCTTTATACTTCAATTAAATATTCAGTGTGTCAAATATGCAAATATTTTCTATAAAAAATAAACACTCAAGGGTCTAGGAATCTCTTCTGTATCAACTAAATTTTAGTATGGCTAAATATGTAAATAAAGGCTTTAACTCAATGAGGACAAGCCTTAGTTTTTTTTTTTGTCATGTTTTGCATCAACATTTACATTTTTATGTATGATGGAGCTTCAAAATCAACTATATGAGCTTCTAAATCAAAGAAATACACTTCTTAAAGGCAGGCATAAATGACTTGACATAGAAAAACACAAGAAAGATAAATGCAATATAAGTGTAAAAATTACATCAGGCAACATTGATATGTTAAGATTTCTTTATTTGTTTGTTTCATCCACCAGGGGACATTTGTTAAGATTCAAACAACTGCTTTACCACTGCTTTTATTCCTATGTTTATCTTATCACATTTCATATTTTATTTTATAAAATATTTTTTAAATACTCATTTCTCTCAACTTCAATGCATTAAGATTCAAACAACTGCTTTACTGCTGCTCTTATTCCCATGTATTTTGCTTATTGCGATTCATATTTATTTTTCCGAATATTTCTTACTTATAAAAGTCCTTTAAAGATTTACACATTTTGGAAGGACAGGTCATACCTACCAGTTACATTTGGAAAATTAATTTTTCACTAATGGTCTAGAAATGAGAGTACTTATAACAGTTATCATTGAGTGTTTGTTTTGTACAACTTGTACCTCTATGAAGCCACTAAATTTACCTAAAAATATTTACAAAGTTTGATGTTCACTTAGTGATTTGTGCTGACTAAACACAGGTATTGTTTTGTCCTAAGTATTCGTTAGACTTTAGACACAGAAACCAGAGAAAATTATAAAAGCTTTGTGATATTTCTATGGAAATAAAATCGATAAAATGTGCACAGACTGTGATTAAAAATAAACTAAAGAGCTTAGATTTAAATTTCCAAACACATCATATTTGTATGCTGAAAAACTAAATAGCTACACCTACAGTTTCTATTGTATCAAATGGTTTTAGTTTAATATTTCTCTATAATGTTATGTATACACCATTTATCATGAGTCCTGCATTCACACAAGAATACAATCCATTTTAATCATACAGCAGATATTAATTTTCAAATCAAACTTGATGGGAAGCAATTACTTGAAACATTGCTGTTAAATAAAATAACATCACATTTTTTTTTAAGTAATTGATTTGTGTAGTAAGACACGTTTCTTTGTCCCATGGCCTACTATTTTACCAGTACAATTTTGGAAGTACCAAGTTAGGTCTTCAACGTGTCATGCTGTATCCATATGCTGAGAGTACCTCAGTTAACCATAGCTGTTAATTTTTTTTTTCTGCTATGTTGATAAAACTTAGTTTAGTGTTTCATTTTTGTTATCATTCTTACATTTTCATAAAAAACCAACTTGGGTGCTTCCTGTTACTTACTGTTTTCATATGTTGTTAAAAACCTACTTGGGTGCTTCCCATTACTTACTGTTTTCATATGTTGATAAAAACCTACTTGGGTGCTTCCTGTTACTTACTGTTTTCATATGTCATTAAAAACCGACTTGGGATTTTTCCTGTTATTTATTGTTTTCATATGTTGTTAAAAACCAACTTGGGTACTTCCTGTTACTTACTGTTTTCATATGTTGTTAAAAACCTACTTGGGTGCTTCCTGTTACTTACTGTTTTCATATGTTGATAAAAAGACCTACCTGGGTGCTTTATTTTTTTACTACCTTTACATGTTGATAAAGCTTATTTGAGTTCTTCATGGGTTTTTATTGTTTGTAAATATTGATAGAATCTTCTTACTATTTTATTTACTGAATAATACCTAATTGGGTGTTTAATGGTCATTGTTTTTAATTGTTTATAGAACCATAACCAGTTCTTTATAATTTCTATGTTTCATCATATTTTGATAAAACTTTGGTTTGGTGCAGACATTTTGCACTGTTTTAAGTTGGTGACAGAATTGTTAGTAGGTGTTTCATGTTTGTTACTGTTCTCGTGTTGACAGACCCCAGTTAGATGAAAATTGTTTATGCACTCTTTCAACTCATTTCTCTTTGTGATTATAGCATTGTTACCTATTTTGCTATAATGTTTTACTATTTTCATTTCCTGTGAAGATACACCTGCTTTTTTTAGCAAAAATATTAAATAACATTAAAGTTTTTAAAGTAAGTCATACAATGAAATGACATTGTTCATAAGTTAATGTAGTTAAAATACATGATGAACATTAACCAGCTACTAAGTTTTTTTGTTTTACTCTTATAGTTTAGTTTGGTTTGTTTGAAGTTAAGCACAAAGCTACACAAGGGGCTATCTGTGCTTTGTCCACCACAGGTATTGAAACCTGGTTTTCAGCATTGTAAATCCGCAGACACACCGCTGTGCCACGTGGGGGGGGGGGGGGGGCTACTCTTATATATGCTGAATATTTATGAATATTAATATTTGAACCTAACTGACTTATCAACAGACATTCATGTGGAGTTTCTTCCCCCAAACATCACTTCTTTGATCCAACCCATGGATTCATTCTCCTTAAAAATGACTCAAATTGTGATCAAAGCAATACACTTAAACGCAATATTGAAAGTGCCCTAACCTCATATAAAGAACTTAATAAAGAAAAAATATAAGCATGCTAAGCAAACAACATTAACAGCATTCTTCAGCCAACCAAAGTCTGCACCACTGCTTCTTGCTGCATCTCTTCCTAACTACAACAATGATATTGACACTCCAGCCCCAGTGGTTTCTCCTGCCTAAGATGATAGCTGCAAAGCAGATCCTTCTGCCCCTATCTTTGTTGATGAACTACCATCAACAATGCCAAGTGATGAGGAAGATGTTGACTCATCTGCTCCAATAGATCTTCTTGCCAGTCCTCTTGCAGCTCACGATGATAACTGTGAAGCAGAAGTTCATTCTGCCCCTTCCCCTACCAGCTAGTAACATCATACAACACCCTCCACCCACACCATCACCTTACGTGTCAACCATTCCACTTTCTTGTACTACAGTACTTAATTTGGATTTAATAAATTTATCAGTGGCTTATATTCTTTGTTTACCCCCAAAACTATCATTAAAATATGTTTACTGTAAGTTTATTATGTTTTGGCTATTTTCATTTATTTATTTATTTTTTGTTGAGAACATATCTCCAATTATATAATGGTAGTCAATGGTTAAATCTACCTCCTTTACAAAATTTCACTTTACGAAAGATTTTTCAGAAACGTAATCCTTTTGTAAAGCAAGATTCACCTGTATTATACCAAAGGAAACTTAAAGCAGAAAAGTTCTTCAAAATAATTTCAAAATTTAGTAGGTCTTTTTAGCCCTATACATTTATATCACTTACTAAGAATCATGCAACAAGTTTAACAAAATTAAATATCTAAAAAAATTAATCAAATTTAAATATCCTGTAAACACCACTAGTACGAGGACCTCTTTTAATTACTGCATATTAGACAAATCATTATAAATGGGAAACAGCTCAAACAAACAATCAACAGTACCTGTAAGGACTGGCTGTTGGATGACCACTAATGTAGATCATTTCACCCGAGTGCAAACCTTCATACAGAGAGCATGAAAAGGGTAATGTCTATAAAACATACAAATTATTGTACATTTGATTTGACAACTGTTGACCATAAACATAAACACAGTTAATATCAAAACTAGAAAAGCTGTATGAATAGTTACGAAACAATAAGTTGATATACACAACTGTAAAAATTACTCTACAAGGTGACTTCAAATTTTTAAGTTTCTAATTAGTCACTGAAAATGTAGGTGTCCTACTTTTAGAGCTAACAATCATGTACGTTAAACGATACACACATACATCAAGTGACTATTACTAATATCCCAACAAGTGAGTATTCTTTAATACATATTAACAAATATAGGAAATGTAACAGGATCTCAATTAACTTTATAGACTAGCTGTAATATCTGTATTATTTTGTATTTTATATATAATGTTATTCTGTATCAATTATGCAAAATACCTTGTCTGCATCACTAGCACCACTCTGGATTATATAAGAGTTTTCTGCTAAGGGGGGTAAATAAGTTGGAGAAATAAAAGCCAAGAGCAGTACAAAGTGTGTATGAGTGTGAAGGTTATCGAGAAAACATTACATTTGGCAACGAGTTACATGATTTGACTTTCCAGCCGACTATGTCTAAAATGTTAAATTTGACTTCTATTTAGCTTTTCGACTGCATGAACCAAGGCAGTATTTCTCAACAGTGGAAACACAGGAAAGAGTAGTTCTCCTATTATTTGACTACAACAGGTATAATGGATGCGAAACAGGAAAGGGCTTTGCATCTCCACATAATCAGACCTGCGTGCCAGAACATTTTCTCGACCTTCACAGACACAAGAGACACATACCTGGCAGCATTGGGTAATTTTGACACTTATTTTGAGCTGCTAAAGAATAGTGCTTTTGAAAGACATGTTTTAACAAGCCGTTCAGCAAGATGGCAAAAATATTGATTGTTATGTTACTCATCTCAAACAGTTAGCTTTATCATGTGAATGTGGAGATTTGAATAACACGATCAGGGATCAAGTTATAGATAAGTGGGTGCGAGTTGTATTGTTGTAAATGAAAGTGTATGGAATTATCTCAGACAACATGGTATTTCATGCACAAAAACCTCTATGTGTATGGAAGTTAAACTCCGATTGAAATAGTGAAAAAAACTTCACCATGGACACTTCTGTTAAACCTGCAGATACAGTGTTGATTAGAGCTGAGTTTTTCTTAGCTAAAAGTGCGAGTCAATCTTTGTTAAGCTGTAACACTGCACTACAATCAGGTGTGTTGAGCATGGGTTATCTCCACCGTTTGTTCATCAGAACTGAGTCCAATATTTATGCCATTCTGAGCAAATACTCAAAATGTTTCGATGACATTGGTAAATTAAGAGATGATGAGAAAGTGAAGCTTGTAGCATAACCAGTTCATAGAATTCCGTTTTGTTTGCATCAGGTATGAATGGATTAACGAGATTCCCACTGTCCCTATCTACTATCTAGCGAAACCACAGCCAAGGGAACGGGCTTGGAAAATAAGAATCATCATTTAAGAAATGTTCAAGTATTGGCTGTGGTTTCGCTAGATAGTAGATAGAGACAGTGGGAATCTCGTTAATCCATTCAACAAGTTTATGTTATCTGAAAAATGTATCGGTCCAACCACTCAAACAACTCGTAAAAATTTCAAAGGTAAAAAATTATAAAATATAAAAAGCAATGAAGTTAAAAACTAAACAAAGTTCGAAAATCAGGTAAAAACATTTAAATAGAATTAAAAAGGCCTAAAACCTGTAAAAACCTAAAAACATGGTCAAGTTGGACAGTGTCACCATCGCCAATGACGCCATCCAACATCAGGGGTAAACTCATAGAAAGTATATGTCTAAAATGGTGCTGCCACTCATTTTTGTAATCAGAAAGTAGAAGAAAAATTGAATGAGCTAGAAGAAAAGGATATAATCGAGAAGTTATCAGGCCCTACTCCGTGCATTAGTCCAGTGACTGTCGTGCCAAAACATTCGAGCAAAATAACGCTATGCATAGATATGAAGAGAGATTATGAGGTTATGCAACATCCAATCCTAACAGTAGATGAGGTGTTGCACAACATGATCTCCACTGTGGCTATCATCAGATCAAGCTCAGGGAGAAATCTAGAGAGATCACAACATTTGTGACTCACAAAGGTCTTTATCGTTATACACAATTTATGTTTGGTGTTTGTTCAGCTCCCAAAACGTATCAGCACATCATTAGGCAAACTATTCAGGGATGTGAAGGTGCTGAGAATATCTCGGACAATATTATCGTATATGGGCATACTCGCATTGAGCATGATCAGAGGATTGAAAAGGTTTTATGTCATCTTAAAGATAAAGGTTTGACTCTAAACAAAGATAAATCACATTTCAGACATTCACAATTTGTGTTCATGGGACACTTGTTATCTGAAAAATGTATCGGTCCAACCACTACTCATGTTCAAGCTGTCAAAGACATGAAAATTCAGAAAACACCAGCAGAAGTTTATAGTTTTCTAGGCTTAGTTAATTTCAGTGCTCATTTTATTCTGGGTTTAGCTACACTTGTGGAACTGTTGGGTAGGTTAACTCACAAAAATATTAGGTTTGTTTGAGGCAATCAACAACCGAAGTTGTTTGATGTGTTAAAATGAAAAATGACATTACAGAATTTTTGGCATATTATGATCCAAATGCTAAAACCCAAATAAGCTGTGATGCAAGCCCATTATCACTTGTTTGGGCATGTGATTTTTCATTTGTATTTGTACAGGACTTCATTCGAGTTGATTACAGATCATAAGCCGCTTGAGTTCATCTACTCATGAAAATCGAAGCCCTCAGCATGTATAAAATGGTGGGTTTTGCATTTGAAACCTAATTCCTTCACTGTACAGTATAAATCAGGTTGACAGAATGCTGCACATTCATTGTCTTGGTTGTCGCAAAATGCTATGATAGATAACTCACAAAATGTTGCAGAAGAATATATTTATTTCATTTTGAAATCTGCAGTATCTAAAGTGCTCACAAATCATCAAGTAGAACTCTACTGATGATCCAGATTTAACTAATTTGTGGATGTGTACCCAAGCAGGTACACTCAATCATGCTACAGATAGCGTAAGATTGTTAAACAAGATGGTATTTCCTGAACTAATGTGTTTCAGCAAGTTAGTGTCACATGGTACAAAATTAGTTATAACTCAAAGTTACAGCAGGAAGTCATCACTTTAGTGCCTGAAGGTCATCAGGAAATTGTTAAGACTAAAGCTAGGTTACAAGAAAAAGTATGGTGGCCTTGTATGAATAAAACAAGTTGAAAATATATGTAAAACTTCCCATCAATGTTAGGTTGTCAGTCTGTTCATCTGTTGTCAAAATCAGAACTGTTACAGATTACTTCTTTGCCAGAGCATCCTTGGCAGCATGTAGGAGCAAACTTATTAGGATCGTTTTCAAATGGAGAGTGTGTTCTGGTAGTTATATACTATTATAGCCATTATTTAGAGCTAGCTATCATGAAATCTATCACTACAAAGAAAGTTTTAGATAATTTAGATAGTATGTTTGCACATGTCATGGTCTACCAGACATAGTACAGGCAGACAACAGAAGGCAAGTTATGTCAGATGATCTTAGAACGTACATGACAGATCATGGAATCAAGCACCAAAGAGTGACTCCACTGTACCCATTAGCTAATGGGGAAGTGGAAAAACAAAATCAAACAATTATGAAGCAGTATGAACAGCATATACTACTGGTGATAATTGGAAATGTTCATTAAATACATTTTTGTTAGCTTACTGTAGCACACTGCATACAACGACTGGAAAGTCCCCAGCTGAATTACTTAGAACTAAGTTACCTCAAGTTATAGTAGATAAGACAGACACAGACTTGCATAAACATGTAACTGACAAAAGAAGAAATGAGAAGTTAAATGCTGACAAGTTGAAGGGTGGAGAGTCAAAGATTAGGGTAGATGACCAAGTTTTACTTCAGCAGAAAAATACAGACAAATTGTCGACAAACTTTGAACACAAATCATATGATGCAATTCACAAATGTGACACTTAGGCCATCATCCAGTCTGATGAGAGCATTTGCTACAAGAGGATTCAAGCCAGTCAGAAGTTTAAGAACCACAGTAATCTTCAGTCA